TGCATTTTGCTATTCAAATTTGCATGCTATTACAGTGGATATTCGATTTTGTTCACATAACGGTATATAAATATAAAAACTACTACCAACGAAGTCTTTGACATATTTCATTTTCTAAACAAATAAATAAAATAGATTTGACACTTTTATAACCGTCTGTATATGTTGACAAATTAATCGCCTCATAAATTTGCATCTTCGAAGGAAATTGATTGACGCGAAAAAGACAAATAACGAAATTACAGTGTTTTGCTAATGCTGTGTAGATGAGTCTGAAGTACACTCATATCGTGCATATGTATATATGTGTGTATGTTTGAGTGTTAGTGTATGCACAGTACATTGAACTGAGAAATTGTTTTGAAATCACTTAAAGTTAATTAGACGGTCAATAGTAAAAAATTGTCAAAATTGAACCTTAGTATATGCGAAAAATAGCGTTAGATCATCCGTAAGTGATCGATGTACTATAAATATGCATATACATATGTACTTGTATATTAATATTCGAGTATTAATGTAAAATCAGGTCTATTTAGTCTGTAAACTCGTTTATGTTTATTCTACAAACTTATTGTGAAATATTTAGCTGTTTTTACTTAATAATCCATATAGGTTACTACTAGTTACAAATAATGAATTTATAACCCCGAAAATCGTAATAAAAATATTTAAAATTTCTAATCCCAAAAACCGATTTAAATATTAATAATAAAATTTTAATTCCAAAAATTGAATTAGGAATAAAAAATAATATTAACTGCCGGATTAAAAAACATTTCATCCCAAGTTAATAATAAAAAATTTTAAACATTATGTATTTCAAAATTATTTTGGACTTGCGTACTTTGTACCATTTGAAAACGATCGCTTTCCTTTAAATAAAGTATTAACTTAGCTGTGCACTTTTTCTCTTATTTACATTTAATTTTTTTAATTATAGTTTATGTTTTTTAATTATAATGTATAGTGTGCTTGCTTTAGCTTTTAATTTGAAAAATAATTTTTATATTTTATACTCCAATTATAAAATAAAAGAAAAAAATATTTTTTTTATAAAATATAATATATATATTTATTTTTATAATAAAAAAAAAATTTTTTTTCTTTTATAAATGCGATGTTAGGATTAAAAAATTAATTTTCCAATTTTTAACTCTGATTTTGTAATAAAAAATTAAATTTAAAAATTTCTTATCTAAAATTTTGTATTCAAAAAATTTGCAACCCTGGCTACTAGTATCAAGAGGAACTACAGTGGCAGTTCTTAGTTAGAACCAAAACTGATTTTGGATTTATAGATTTATTTTTTTCACGCACCAGAATTGCTAAACCTATATATATAGCAAAACTTTGCTAAAATTTAACTAATTAATTTAGTTATTCTGAAAATTGATTGTATGTTATTGTTTTTTCAGGTCGAGAAAGTCATTTGTGATTTTTATGTTTATATGTGATTGTTATGTGATATGTATGTTAGAACTTAATCTTGGAATTTGCACAGTTTTATTGCTTTTCACAAATGTTTTCATGAAAAATATGCTGAATGTTGAGATTATGTAATGTTAATGTAAGCTTTTTCTTCCTGCTCTCATCCTATACAGAACATCGACTTTTTTTTTTATTTATACCTAAAGTGTCAATTATTATGTTATTATGTACTATATGTACTATTTATTTTACTATCACATGTACGAGGTCTTGTTGTTATTATGTTGATAGACATACATGCCGAATTTTCGTTTGTTCAAAGCTCACACTTCGTTGCTTCTACGTGAATTCTTCGCCAAAAGCAATGGTGTAACGATGCTCCAGCGTCCATATTCGCCAGACTGGGCACTTTGTCACTTTTTGCTATTTCCTAAAATAAAGCGCACCTTAAAGAGCCATTCATTTTACAAGATAGCTGAAAATCGCTTAAAGCGCCAAAGGCTATCCCAAAAATCAAGTTAGAGAAATGTTTTGGCAATTGGAAGAAACGTTGACATAAGTGCAGAATATCATCAACTATTAGTGTAGATGATTGAATAAATATTATTTCTTACAGGTAGAACTTCTTATTCAATGGCTGCAAATATTGCTGACCTCATGCATTTGAGTCTCGATAATTGATTTTTTGCAACACTTCGCTCCAATAATAATGTGAAAATAGCGCTTAAGCCTTTTACGCAAAGATACAATAGTATTTTCTCAGATTTCTAGGAATCACTTTTTAAATTAATTTTAATATTATACATATATGCTGTAGGCATGTATTTTGACGTCATGAGTTTTCGCAGTATTTTTTTGCAATGTCATAAAGCAAATAATTGAAGACCGCGTTTTCCATAAAGAAAAAATATTATTTTGTGTCACATGTAAATATGCAAGTATGTTAGCATTTTTACGATTTGTTGACATAAATCGCTGAGTTAATGTGACAAAATTTTCTAGTGTTTAAAAAAAAAAAAACCTATGTATGTGATGTACAGTATATATACAAAATTATAAGAACATATGTGAGAAGGACAAGAAAAAATTATTTGAATAATGCAAAGAAATAAAAAAAAAACATTTGTGTTGTGTTGATGGAAGGAGTCACATCACAAAATAAATTCTCCCCATTTTGATTGGGTATTATTTATAGGATATATTGCATATATTTTATTACTAATGTTAGATTTAAAGTGTGTCCAACTATATATTTCGTTACCCGGCACATATTAAAGAACATAAAAAGTAGGCTAAGTTCGGATGGAACCGAATATTAAAGAAATCGTCGTAAGCTCGGGAGAACTTGAAGTGTATGAAATATTTAGAGGTAGATCTTATATTAATTGTGGGAAGCTTATATAGTTTTTTGCTCACTAACTGAAATAAAAATTCAGCCAAACTGATAGAAATAAATATAATGGATATATGATTTCTAAACTGAATAAATTTCCTTTAATATTAGTACTAAACTAAATTTTATTAAGTTCAATGTACGCACCTCCTGTTGGAACTCAAAAGAGTTGCTAAGGTTGTCTGTACTGTCAAATTATTAATAATTTCGATGAAGTAGGATTATTAGCTGTAAAACACCTTTAACTTAATTCGAAAATTTTAATATCACATTATATTCGGTTCTACAGAAAATTCCTTCTAAAATCGTTAGTACTGCTTAGTATTAATATAAAATTGCTGTATTTTGCTGTCCTATGTAATTGAACTGAAAAACTGTAGACGTCCAAAGTTTTAAAATGTATGAAGGCTTAACTGCCAATGTATAATATATTATATTGGCAATGCTGTGCGTAAATATTTAAGTAGGTTTTTGCCCTCCCTCAACAAATGCAGCTTTAGAAGCTATTCTATTACACTTTTTTTATATATAACGCAGTGCGAAGTCATAGTAAATAACATAAAAACCCTTAATGAACTCTAAATGTCGCGCTTTGTTTTTATTTAAATAATTGGACGGATCTTCTGGCAGAACCTAAATTTTTCACTATATAATTTTACTAACTTGAACTGTATGCTGTTGAACTTGAGCCGAATATATGAAACAAATGCAAAACAATTTAATGGAAAAATGATGTCTAATTAAAAGAAAATATTAAACTAGTAATTCAGTCTAACAAAAAACAAAAAAAGTTAAATTGGGTGGCACAAAGCCACACTTCACAAATAAGAAGTTTCCATTCAAGAAGTGGATTTCGACTTTCTATATCTTATACAATCTGAACGGCGCTGCCTTTGACAATAATCCATGCGAATTTTCGTACAAATATTTCGTCAAATAAAACGGGTTTTGATTTTGGTAGATCAGTTTGTATGCAGCTATAGCTATAGTGGTTCGATCTGAACAATTTATTCGGAAATTGCACTATTGCCATGTCAAAAATTGTATATGTATATATTATACGGATATTATATATACATTTTTGCACAATTCCGAATAGCTCTTGGTATTGTCTATCAAAATTGAAAAAAATACTTTTTCATTACATCTATTTATAGTATTATACACTTTTTCATATGTTGAGCTATAATACAGGGTGTGTCGCATTTTAGCCTCTGGAATTTAAAACATAACATATATCTAACTTGAGCAGCTGTACTCACATGAATTTAATGTATTCTCTAGTAAGAATATTTATAGCGCTTCTTCGATAAAATATTTAATAATAACCAGCACATTGCATTGCCTTTGCATTTCTATACAACTTGCAATTCTTTTATTATTTCTATATATGCATATGATTAATTACAATTGTCAAAAGTATTTAAATATGTTATTAATATTTGCGACCACTTGAGAAATATTTTTTATAAATCATGACTAGCTCATAGTTTATGGAGCAACTGTGTAAATATGGTTATAGAAGATTAGAGCATATGAAAATTATTAAAAAAAGCATGTTCTTAATTTTATTAAGATATAAACAGAAAAAAGTTTGTAGTTACTTACTTATTTAATAAGATAAAGGAAAATTCAAATACAATATATATATGTCAATTTGAAAAGCAAGGCATCTCAGTACAAAATACTAGATGTAAATAGAAAAAGCAACTTATTTCCAAAAGTATATACGCAGCTTAAAATAGTCGCTATTCAAAATCATGCTGTATTTTGGTTATAATATCTTTATTTCAACGCCTTTCAGTATTTTTAGTTATATTATTTATATAAATTTGTTGCGTAGCTACAGTAAAACATACATCTGTTACCATACCTTCAATTTAAAACTTTTTTGAGGAGGTTTTTAGTCATCGTCACACAGTGTTGTCATAGTAAAGACTCACATACGCAAAAATATTAATTTCAATTCCAAATATCAAACCCGAACCGAAGGCCCTTTTTCAAGTACCATTTGGTGTTCCCAAGTAATCAATATGATACGATCGACGAATAAATTGATGCTGTGTAGCTACAGTTTCATCACCTTAAGCAAAACTAATAAAAAAAATTCTCATAATTTATTATTAAGCAATTGCTATAAACCATAAAATCAATAAATTAATTTACACAATTTCAGCACTAAAACATGGGGTTACAAAAACACTACCTCAGATATGGTCGCAGTGCGAGGGACCACATATTGGGTCTGGCGGGCGGAGGGCGACGCAATACCATTGTGAAAACCACCGGCGATAATGCGCACAACGGCCACCATAGCGGCCATGGGACACATCATCGAACCGATGGTGGGGGTGGTGGCGGCGGCGAACACGGTGGTATGCCAAATTTAACCAACCGTCCCACTCCCTTGTCTATGCTAATATCACAAGGAGCTAAAATCAATAACCGTAAGTAAACAAGCAAAAGCCATTTAATTAAATAAATAAATGCAATTTTAAATGTGAAAAGAATAAATTTCGTGCGATAAGAAAAATAGAAAAAATAACACAAAAATTAAAAAAAAATAAAAAAACCGCAAAAAAAAAGAAGCCACACATTGCATATTTTGGTTTGGTAGGCAAAATAATCTCAAGGAAACCGAGTTAATTTTCCGGTTTGCGAAAAATGTTCGGTTACCGATATTGCACAGAGGAAATTATGGTATATACAAACATAAATACAGTACTTAACGTATATGTATGTATATGTGTTTGTTTGCATTTGTACATATGTAAATATACATATTTTACACTATAGAATATGGCAATTGGTGTTAAAGTCAATATCACTTCAATTAAACAACAACCACTAACAATGACAGCAACAAAACAACAACTTGTGAAAATTTACGCTAGACACACATACTAAAATACATATATACATGTATTATGTGTTATCTTAAAAACCAAAACTGCACTTCGTGTTCGGCTTTACTCGGCTCGGTCGTTGGCAATGATACTTGCTGCGCGATCTTTGCGATCTTTGCGCAATCCAACATTCTAAAAAAAAAGCGGCGACTATACGAACGGCACACTTCCGAAGTGCAGGCCATCAAGTGCGCAAACATTGCTAGCAACCGCCACCAACCATAGAAGCGGCTAATGAGAGCTGCAGTAGTAGCTAGCAGCGGTAGCCAAAAATTGCTAAAGATCGAGTCTTGGCAATTTGCAGGTTGTTGAATTTATTTTCATTTTCAATTCTCATTTTTTTGCTTATTTGGTTTATGTCATTTTATTTATTTCTCCTTTGTTGCTGTGCACATTGGCAATTTCAGCAGTGGCAACAGTTGCTGCAGCACAAGTTCATTTCAACATTTCATATGCGGTCATTTGATCTCGGCGCGCAGTAAACTCCAATGCAGTCTTATATAATTGGCGTTTAAGTCTAAAAAATCACGTAAAGAAAAAAGTTTAAATACAAAAATTACAAAAATAAATTTATACTGCTACCAAACACCAATCCGTAGTAGTGCTGCACTGGCTGCTGTTACCCATACTTGCTGTTGGCTTAGACTCGTTCATGAAAACTTGTATTAGAAGTCTGCCACCGCTAGTTGCTATAAACGTAATCGTCCACCTTGCGGCGATGCTGCGATTGGCGGAGCCAAAAACTTGTTGCCAAAAATTGTATAAAAGTGTCATAACATGCTATATAATACAAGTAATGTGTAATTTGTATGTGCATGTTTGGGTATCTCGCTAATGTAAGCTCGTGAGTGGAAATCTGAACCGTGGAAGTCATGGAGGGTATTTAAAAAATGCACTTTTGTTTTCTTTTATAGAATATGTCAACACTTTTTAGCGGCTTTCACAGTGTAACCGTTACATCTTGTTTTTTTTTTTTTTGTGGAAAGCCACCATTTCATCCAAAATAAAATCTCTCAATTTAATAAAATTTTCCCTCAAAAAATTATATCTAGTTTTTTCTGTTAATTCACAATAGACCTTTGAGAAACATTGCTTTGAGGTTGTACAGGTTTGTTTATTATTTTTGCTCATAATTCGTCAAAAATTGTATATATTTTAAGCTTTATTAAGTTTTCAGGTTGCTCAGGTCTTTCTATGTGTAGACTTTTTTCTACCGTAAACCTCAGTGATAACAAAATTTTCTATAATTTTCTGATCATTGATCATTTCAAAACCCTCTAAATTAACCAAATAATTAATATTTTAGAAGTGGACTTCTAAACCTGAAAACAATATGTTTCTTCCTACTTTACTCCAAGCCTTGAATATATTACCTATTGGCAATAGGCATAGTGACGTCAATCACAAAAATTAATTGAAAAATAAGTTAAACTTAAGGGAGGGAAAGGGTTTTTACTTTCGAAAAAAAAATTTTTTTCTCTTATCTTATTGCTTAACATTTCAATAATATGTCATTAAAATTTTAGGTCGATAGAAGCAATATTCTTAAAGTTATTGTCTTATTAATATCCTGGCCTTTAACGCTCCAACCAATAGTTCATAAACTTTAGACGCGTTTTTCTCAAAACTACTTCCTCAAAGTCCGTGTTCACTGTCATTTCAAAACTAATTGACCGATTCATTTTAAACTTTATACACATTTTCGACATATCAAATACCGCCCCCCTATTTATATAAATAATTTTTTTTTTTACTTCAAGGGTGTTTTCCACCCCCAAGATGGCGAAATTTTTAGTGGAAAATAACAGTTTACACTTTAAATAGCCGCCAAAAATTTTTAAATGAAAAAAAAAAATTATCAGAGAACGTTGAAGGGGAAGATTTGATCATAATTAAACTGTTTTTTTTTTCGGATAATTTCCAGCCGAGTTATGGTGAACACCGCAAATTGTTTTTTTCTCAAGACGTTCCTGGGGCAAGCTCTGTTACCGGCACATGCTTCAATGTTCCTGCATGAAAAAATTACTCTACATTGCTCAATCCATATTTCAGAAAAAAATTCGCATAAAAAGTTTTTTTTTTATCTTGAAACCCTATCCCCCCGTTAACGTACACTGGTTGTTTAAAACTTATAAATCGCTTACGGTCGTAGGGAAATGCTTCATATAACATTCTTAATAAAAATTCTGTATTGAACAGTTTGCAATTCCTCTTGCAGTTATAATCATGTAGATCAAATTTTTTACTAAACGGTCCTCTCCGCCGCATTCCTGATTTATTTATTTATCTGACTCACTGTAGCTGAGTAGTTTTAGATTTTGAATCTTACAAAAATTGGCTGGGCGGGCGAAGTGTATTCTTTGGGCTATTATTATTTTAATTAATTTATTTTAATACAGTTTTATTTATTTTATATTATATGAGTTTATTTAATTTAATATTATTTTTTTTTTTTTTATTTATTATTTTTTTTTTTTTCTATTTTATTTTGTTTTATTTTATTTTATCGTATTTTATTTCATTTTATTTCTTCTCTTTGTCTGTTAAAGTTGTTTTCCATTTTTATCAAGCAACTGTAATTCATGATATCTCACTTAAGTCATAATATTTCACAATGTCAGCAACTAATCAACATCCTCCTACCTCAAATCACAAAAAATGTGTCTTATTGAAACAAACAATCCATCCATACACATACAAACAAAAATACACCCATAGCAATTTGTTGACCATAATAAATTAAATAACCAATCAAGGTTTAATCGAAAACACTAAAACTTGTAATTACTAGTAAACAAGGCAATGAAAATGCGAGCAAATAAATAGTAAAATTTTAAAACTAGTAGGAACTGTCGCTGTGACTTTGCACTGTTGAACTGCCGGAGCGCTGCGCTTATGCAGATGCAGATTTTATACCCCAAACGAGCTTAGAACTTTGCCATGAACGTTGAAGGCATCGAGGTCTTCAAAAATTAAACACACACACTCACACATGAGTAACTTTATATTTCGATTTGCAAAAATGTAAACAAACTGGCAAGACACAACACATTATGTATGCTATGTACGTTTATTGTGAGGTAAAAAGAGTTCTGCATACAAGAACGGTTCCATATGAATTGTATTTATAGATAAACTTGTGTCCGAAATTCACAGACGCCATTGATCGCTTTATTACTTCGTATATCTACGCCTTGATTGAGTATGCTTTAGATAAACATACCATAAGTGTTTGTATTTAAGCCATAGAATATATATTTGTATATACATATATGTCTTCATGCAGTTGACCGTCGCATTGGTTGAGTGCAGCGTCGTTTTGCTAATAAATTCTGTCAGCATAAAAGAGTTGACAAGACCTCGTTAGTACCTGCCTACCTATGATTACCTTAATTGCAGCTTATTAAGATTATTTGAATGCAATTTTTCAACTCGTTGGTATACAGGGTTGCTCTTATCGAATTTTATTTTTTTTGAATTTGCATTCGATGAGACTTGGAAATCAAAGCTATAAAATTTTTGACATTTTGTTTAATAGAATATTATGGAAACAAAAGCAACACAAAACGCAGATATAAGAAAGATTTCAATTAACAATAATTGATTATAATATTTTTTTATTTAAATTTTTTTATTTCATTTTGCTTTATTTTATTTTAGTTCATTTTATTTAATTTTTTAAATTTTGTTTTATATCAATTTATTATTCGTTTTTTCTTTCAATTTATATTATTTTATATATAATTAATTTTAATTTATTTCATAAAATTTTTTTTTTACTTTTTTTGTAAAATTATTTTATTTAAATTAACTTTAGTTTAACTTCATTTATATTATTTTGTTTTATTCAAGACGCGGAAAGCATTTTTCTCATCCTTCCAAACTGAAAATTATTTTCAAATTTATTTTGGTTTTTTAGTATTGTGGGTACTCAGCCGGTTTAATCTTAACTCCCCGGAAAAAATATTTTGTTTTTATATTTTTTTCTAATCCAAGTATGTATAGGAATACATTTTCACTGATGATAAACATCACGTATACGTCGTGTAGCTCTGCTAAGGATGATATTCCTTTAAGCACATTGATTGGTTATTATTGTAATTGAATTGACTTTAATTGAATAAACACAATGAAAATCGTCGTTATTACAATTAATGTAATCAAATAGAGCCGATAAAATTATTTTGCATATTGCATATGAGGTCATTTAAGAGAAAAACAATCTATGAAATTAGAATTATCGCACATAAACAACAGTATTGCACAATTATATTAATTGCCAAGCACCTTTTCTTGTTTTAAAGATGCCAATTAGACGATCAGGAAGTATTTATTTATTATGTCTAATAAATATTGCAATACTTGTTACTTTAGTGCGAGCATTTACGTAAGGTCCTTTATTAAAAAGCATTTAAAACCAATTAGAAGACATTAAATGAGCTTATTGTTATTGCCTCCCAACTATTTACAAAGAATTAGTAAATACTTTATGTTCAGTATTTCTTTTAATATTCAAAATTTCGAGATTAATATCTAGTATT